TCATAGACGCCACCAAGCTCCTGTTCCACAAGCAGAAGGAGTCCATGTGCGTGCGCGACTGGGTCGCGATGGAGTTCTTGCGAGTGGACATGGGCACGTTCCTAGAATGGTACTGTGCAGACGGCATGCTGTCGGTCATAAATGGCCCGCCGTTCTTCGACGAGGGCAACGGGGCCGCATACGCGCGGAACATCCCGTCCCTCACCGAACGATGCGCTGCTGTGTGCGAGAGGCTAGGGCTCAAGACGTGGGAGGGACACCCCCATCTCCCGGACGGCTTCACCATAAGCGTGCCGACCGGCCTCCCCAGATGCCCCGTGCTGCTACTGTATGGCAGAGAATCTTCGAGAGAAGGCTGGAGCTCGTTTGACGGACTGAGCTCGGCCTTACGCCTCATAGAGGGCGACTGCCGAATCGGCGTGCCGTGCGAGGGATCCGTCTTCGGAGAGGTGCCCGCAGCGGAGAGCGTGTCCGAAATAGTGCGGGCGCTCGAAGCTCACGCGAAATAATATCGCTATAGGTGAAGATTCAACATGATACTCCTCGTGGGCAGCAAGCTGCTCCGGAAGATCGAGGATCTGGACGCGCGGATCCAAAGAATAGAGGACGCCATCTCCAAACGAGACCAGGGTGTACCGCCTAAAGACATATACGAACGGCTACGGAAGATCGAGGATGCACTCAGCGTCGAGCATGATGAAGACGTGGGATTGAATTCGCCGCTGGAAGAGGTAGAGAGGTCGGTAGAGGATCTAAGACGCGATCAGGAAGCTCTCGCGAGAGACTCGAAATTCATGAGAATTCAGTTGGATGCAGTGTGGAAGATGCTAGATGGCGTACAGAAACATATCGACGAGTTCCTCAGATGTCCTGACTTTTCGGCGCGAGGACCAGCCGAAGTTCTCCCAGAGCCGCTATCGCATACTGAGTCACCAGAGGAAAGTTTGGCTGCATGAACAAGGTGCACGTCTGGCTCAGACTGCTGGCTTTCGTGAAGAGGGCCAATATCTTCAAACTGAAGCTGAGGTCTATTTCCTCCTGATCCGCCCCGCTCTCGGTCTCCAAGATGGTCTTCTGGCTGGCGAAGTCGCCCGATGTCTCAAAGATGACTTGCGACCCCTTCACGTGGATCCGCATGACCTGGCCGATCGACAGCTGATCCTTCACCAGACGCTTAAAGTCCTCGCTCGCCATGGTGATCTGCGTGGTCAGCTCCACGTCCGGTATCGAGATGCGTTGGTCGTCGATGTCCAGGAGTTTCAGCTTGAAAAAGGTCTTGGCCTTGCGGTCCGAGTTTTGTATGATGATCTCCAGCTCGTTGGTGTTGTCCTCGTCGATCTGCATGGTCAAGACGTCCGACGAGGACACCGTCTTCAGGAGTTTGTACATGTTCTGTATGTTTATGCCGATGACTATAGGGGATGGACAGTAGAAGACCTCAAACTTCTCGGCGTCCAGCCAGACGTGGCACAGCGTGCACTGGCTGAAATCCATGGCGATGGTCTTGAGGCCGCTGCTCGTCGCTATGATGTTCACGTCGTTGAGGAGTTCCTTCAGCACCTCGAAGAGGCTCTTGAGGGAAGAGCCCTGAACGGACTTGAGGACGAGCACAAAGCGCCTGCCATCTTGGGCCTGGTCCAATTCCATGGTCGCCTGCTATTCCGGGGTCCGCGTTGTTGCCTAAATGGACGACCGCTCTAAAAGTCATCGTAGGCCGACTGGACTAGCATGCCGTCCGGTTCTTCGTCGTATGGAGTGAAGGTCAGGCCGGGGGAGGGCGACGTGAAAGAGCTGGTGGTCATCGGAGCAAACATCTCGTCGCTCGTAGCCCTCTTCTCGGTCGAGGGTCCCGCCCGCGTACTTCCCCCATGCCTCTTCTTCAGCCACTGAAAGGCCGCGCTCCCTCCGTAGATCTGATGATCGGACACGACGCTGGGCGTCTGACTGATCGGATGTACCGGCCTCTGCCTGTCAATGTTGACGAGCACCGTCGAGGCGAGGTTCTTCGATTCGGCATTGAGTTTGTTGACGAAGTCTACCGAATACGGACAGCGAGGGCTGTAGTACACGACATCCCTTCGGTCCATCGATGCTGCTTTGCACATACGAATCAAAAAGTCTGGAGCGCTTGAACGCACGCAGGGAAATTCTTTCTATCCCATTCTTAGAGGAGGCTAGGGACCACGTGCAGCTCATGTCGAGGCGCAAGAGAACAGCCGAACACGTGGGTCTTACGAACGATACATTGGGTAATGATGCAACTTATGATGGTCCAGTAACGCGCTCGAGGGGTCACCATGACCAGACCCAGCGTGTTTTAAGACTCTTTAAAAGGCAAAGAGAAGAGGGACCGTCTGTGGTCGCCCCGATCCAAGAAGGTCTGGTAGAGGCACACGCACAGGCTACGGCCAACTATGAGAGCCAGATCGAAATTTTGCAGGCACGTATCGACGAGTACCAGCTGATCCAGAATCAGACCGATAACGAACTCAGGAGGGAATGGGCATCTCGGGGGATTGTAAACAGCCAACTGACGGAATCGAAGAGGCGCATAATGGATCTAGAGAAGGACATCGAAAGAATAAGACGGGAGGGACGCAAGACCGAGGATAAGCTGCAAAATGAACTCGACTACGAGAAGCGGTCTCGTAAAGTCCAGATGGACAGACTGGAAAAAGAGAGATCCGCCGAGATGAAAAAGTCGTTGGCTGAACAAGCAGAGAAGCACAGGAAAAGGGAGGAGGAATTGCGAATACTCCAAGAGAAAGAAAAAGCAAGATACGACGCCAAGGTCGACGAGCTCCGAGAAGAGAGAGAGAAGGCATTGACTCGACAGAAGGAGTTGTCGGAGGCAGCGGAGGCGAAGCGAGCTACCGAGATCGAAGATCTGGAGAGGAAACGACGAAGAGCCGAAGAAGAGGTCAAGAAACTGAAGGAAGAGCTGCAGAAAAAGGAGCACGAGAGAGAGGTGGAGATCACGGGATGGAGTCACGTCAGAAAGGGACTGACGCTGGCGAATCAGCAGCTGACCAGAGAGAACACAGACCTGCAGACGGCGAGAGAGGAGGCCGTCGCGTTGATGGACAGGCTGAGAACCGTGTACAAAAATCTACAGCGCAGAGCTTACGATCTGCCGAGGCCCGTCGAGACGGACGAGGAGTTGACGAATGCGTTGGAGCCTCTGATCAAAGATCTCGTTTCGGATCGATCGAGGCAGTCGGACCAGCTGGACGACATCTTCCAAAGGGTCACGAGGGCTTTGTCGAACTTTCGAGGCTTCTGCGAGAGAGCTGGGAACCGAGTCAACCTATCCGACTCGAACGATATCCAGACGATGATCGGCAATCTCGAAAATAGCCTCACGCACGCGCAGAAGATGCACGAAGGAGCACGAGAGACCATCCTCGAACTCGAGAGGACGGCCGAGACCAGGAAGAGAGACCTAGAGAGGGCCTTGCGGGACTTGGACGACTTGCTGTCGGGCACCGTCCGAGCCGACGCGTCCGAACAGGTGAAGACCATCAAGGATCGGCTCGACGCAGCTCGAGAGGAAGCTCGGGCATTCGGTAAGGCAGCGGCGCGAGCGGAGGAATTGAGGAGGGCGAAGGAAGCGGAAGCCGAGCTGACAGGCGCCCAGCTGGAGAGATCGAGGCAAGAGGTTCGGGAGTTGAACAGCGTCGTGGCTCGCGGTAACGAGAGAGAAGAGTCGATAAGGAAGAATATCAGGGAATTCGAAAAGCTATGCAGGGATGCGCTGGTCTCCCAGGAACACAGGGAGCAGCTCCTCAACCATGCAGATCCGAAACTCAGAGAGGTGGGATCCATCGTGAAGACGCTCCTCGACAGCAAGGAATCGATCGAAAGAGCCCTCCGAGAGAGTAGAGAACGCGAAAGGGCCAGGATGGAACTAGACGACGAGATTGAAGAGTTGAAGGCGAGCAAGCGAGCTCTGGAAGTGCAGAACGCAGAGCTGATAGCCAAGGCGAGTGATCTGCGGAACGAAGTTCAGAGGTCCAACGCCGAGCACGAACGAGAGAAATCGAGGATGACGGCAGAATACCGAGCGAGAGAAGCGGCATGGCAGCGTTCGGCCCAAGACGTATCGCGGCAGCGGGAGACGTGGATGCAAGAAGCCAAGAGCAGGTTCGAGCAGGTATATGCGACGAGGGTGCGAGAGCTGGATGGATTCAGAGCACAGGCAGCGGCAGAAGTGGACGCGCACCGAGCCGATAGGGTCGCTATGGAAGGGCGAGTACTCATCGCAGAGCAGAAGGCGAGAGAAGCCGAGCAAAAGGCGGAGCAGAGGATCGCAGAGATCGGCGCGCAGGTGCAGCAGATAGAGAAGAATTACACGGATGCCTCGGAGGAAAAACAGAGAAAGCTCGAGGAACTCAACGTCCAACTCCGAGCGAGTACCGAGGAGAAGGACGTACTGCTGAGATCAGAAAAGGCGTTGCGAGATGAATTGGCTGCGGTGACCAAGCGAGCCGACGAGTCGCAGAAGAGAGTGACGGAGCTGACCGAGGAGATAAACGACCTCAATTCGAGCGAGCAACAGCTGACGGACATAATCGCAAGATTACGCGCCCAGATCGAAGAGAATCGGATACAACGCGAGACGGCCCAATCGACACGGAACCTCCAGATCGAGGGCCTGAGGAAGACGGTGGATGGATTGAAGGTGGAGAATCAGAGGATCCAACTGGAATTGGAGCGAGTTCGCGAAGCGGCAGAGGTATCCGCTCGCGAAGGACGGGAGAAAGACGAAGAAGCGACTCGTCTGCGAAGAGCCATATCCGCTAGAGAGTCGGAGATCGGTAGGAAGGAGCAGGCCCACGCGAGAGCGATCGCAGAACGGGACGGCAGAATTGCAGGATTGGAAGCAGATAGCAGGGCATTACGAGAGCGTATAGAAGAGGTTCAGAGACGAGCTTCCAGGAACGAAGCGATGGCGAAGAGAAGGTTGGGGAACAGATTAGCAGAACAAGAGGGAGCAAAGACTGCTGCACTAGCTCAGTTCTCGAGTTTGAGGAAAGAAGTTGAGGATCTGACGTCCGAACGCAAAGCCCTGAAGAAACTAGAGAAGGAAAGTCGGGCGGAGGCCACGAAAGCTTCCGGATCGGCCCTGCGACAAGAGAAGAGAGCCGAAATGCTGGCCGCAGAGGTCGAACGATTGCAGCGCTCGATGAACGAAGCGAACGAAGAGATCGACCGTGCTAGAGGAGGCATCAGGGAACGAGACGCTGAACTGAACGCAATGACCGACGAGCTGAGAAAAGCTGACGAGGAGAGACGAGCCGTGCAAGAGAAGGAGAAACAGTCGAGGGAGGAGTTGAAGAGGATGATGGATGCCGTCGACAGAGCGGAAGAACGACAAGAGGCGTTACGCGCAAGAGGTGGACGGCGCTGAAGGCGGCCGTGGCTCAGAAAATGAACACCGTAGACGAATTGAATGCCGAGATCCAGAGAGTCGGTCGAGAGAACCAGACGATCATCGACGAACATCGGAGAGATCTCGCAGCTTTGAGGCGCCAACTGGACAAGGAACGAGAAGCCAAGGTGACGCTCGAGGGAGAGTTGAAGGGAGAGATCGAGAGGACGAAGAACTTGTTAGAAAGATCGCAACGAGAGACGCAAGAGCTGACCAGGGAACTCGGTAGAGCGAACGACACCGTGGTACGAATGACCGAGGCGACGACCGAAGTGAGGCGAGAGCACCTGGTCCACGTCAATCGGCTGGAAGAGACATTGAGAGCTCGGGAGACTGCACATCTCGAGCAGTTGCAGAGAGTGCAGCTGGATGAGGAGACCACCAGACAGAATCTAGAGAGAAGGCACGGGGAGGCTCTCCACCAAGCGAACGAGCGACTCGATGGTGCCCAGGAAGAGGTCGAGAATTACAGGATGCGGCTCGAGGAGGTCGAACGCGACGCGCATCGGGCCGACGTCGCCAACCGAGAGGTAGTACGCAAGCTCGAGCAGGAACTCTCGGCTGCAAAGAGGGCGATCGACGAGCGAGTCTCGGAGGCCGTGAGAGCAGCGAGAGACGAGGCTTGGACTCGGGCGGCAGCACAGATGAACGAATCGGAGGTTCGCATGAGGAAGTTGGAAGAGGAGAATGCCGCACTCCGTAAGGACATCGAACAACGAAAGAACCAGTACGAGGCACAGGCCAAGAGTACGAAGGATGAGTACGCTCAGGCCCTGCTGGACGCAGAGAGGAGGGCTCGAGAGGAGCTCCTCGCAAAGGAGCAGAGACTTCAGCAGATGGAATCCGACTTTCGGAACCAGAACGGAGACCTGCGCGCGAGGCTCTCTCGGACGACGGTCCAGCTGAGGTCGGCCGAATTGGCTCTCATGGAAAGGAGAAAGCAGGAGAGGGGTATGAGGGAGAGGGTCCCCCAGCCGGGTGCTGCGAGTCGACAGACAGAGGTTCGAGACCCGTTCGAACGAGGCGCCCCATCCACCATTGGAGCTCCGACCCGACCGATCCAAGTTCCGCGATCGGACCCTTTTGTTTCTGGGGCCAGAGTCGGACGGACCCCGAGTCGACTGGGACGGGAAGCTCGATTTGGTACGGCCGGTGCTTCGCCCACGCAAGCAGCTGCCGTCGAACGCCAGCGAGTCCGCTTCGAAGAATCACATAGTCGTTCCAACCCTAGTCAGGCTTTAACTGACGCTCTCAGGCGAATGGAGGCGAGACTCGAACGACGCGAATTGTCGCGAGATCCATCTGAGGCTCTTTCTAACGCTCTCAGGCGAATGGAGGCGAGAGTCGGACGAAGCGAAGTGCCTAGAGATCCATCCGATGCACTTTCGAATACGCTGAGGCGAATGGAAAGAAGACTTGGACTGCCTCCGTCTCACAGCCAAACCGAACAACACAGAAGAATGACTAGGTAGTGACTCAATATGCACACAATCATTTCCGTCGTAAGAGGGCGTGATTTTGCCAGATAAATTTTCCGTGTTGCATTCAGTACTATCATGTCCCTATACTCGGAATTAGTCAAGCAACCCGAGCACCTTTTCTCGATCAAGGATAAAGCACAGTTTATAGAACTCCTTACGTCGTTTGTGAGACAGAAGGATGCTCTGATAAACATCATCCCAGCAGATTGGTTTACGGGACTTGAAGAGATGCTCGCAAGTTTAACTGCACTGGGGAGTGAAGATATATCCGAAGACCAAGTCGGTCTCTTTCAAAGGAATCTCTACGAGGTATTCAAAAAGATCACACCAGCGTCGGAATCTGACGAAAGAGCAAACGAACGCAGGTTGCCCGATGAGGAAAACCAGAGGAAATTCCACGAAGCGATGGGGGTCGCTACTACGAGTTCTGGCAGACGACAGCCATTCCCGACGACTTACGATGAGTTCTGTAAAAGGATCGGCATAGAGAATTATCCGAGTACTAACGCTAAGATGCGCTTGGGAGTAGCATGGAAGCAAATCATGGATAACCCGGAACTCAGAAAGAGGATCGACGACGGGATCATAACACCCGATTGGGACGAGATAGCCAGAAACAAGATGAAGAGCCTCGACATGTCTCCCGTCGAACTCCAAGCCGTTAGGGCTCGGATGCTCGATCTCCAAGATCCGACCAACTCCCTCGCAAATGCGGCGACGGTCGCCAGCAAAGCTCGAGGGAGCACGACGCCCGGAGGCCCCGAGTTTCGAGGCATAGGCTCAGGACCA